AAAAAGGAATATGCACTTTTCTTGAAGGTTACGACGTCGTATCGGTTTGAATAAACTGCTACTCTCGTCAAATGGTTTGCCATTCAAGTAAATATGAAAAAAAAAATGGAAATTGGTGTCTCTGGCTCCCCTATTGGAGTTGGTAACAACGTAGCGAGGTCATAAGGTCATGCTGACAGTTTCTAGCAAGTGAATGAGTGATTGGCACGTAGTACGAGCTCATAAAATGCTTATCCCATAGCTAAATTATTGATAATGGAGCAGTCACCCGTCCTTTCGCGTAGTAACAATGCAAAGCAATCTCTACTTGCAACGATCCAATAGCATATTGAAATGTATTGTTTATTCCAATAGGATTTAATGGGGGGGGGGGGGTGATACTGGATTGTTAAAATTGGGGATTAGTATCCCCATTGTTAGCAATACACCCTATCAGGTCGACCTCCACGTGGTTCCCCCTGGAAACCATCGTGGTTAATTCTAGTGAAATTCGTCAAGATGGGCTACCTGACCTGTTTTCATCGTCAGCTATCATCCCTCACTGGTGCCCCACCAGCGTATATCGTTAGCGCAGGCGGGTTACCATTCCATTATTATCCATTAAAAAAAAATAGGATTTAACAAAAATGTTAGTAAGTTTTGTCGAAAATATCACAGAAATAATGTATAAAACAAATTGAAACAATTAATAAATTAATAAATGTTTGATTTTTACTAGTATAGGAAATCAGTGTAGATTCCGGCATAGAATAGGCCACCCCTTCCTTTCCCGTGGGTGTCGTAAGAGGCGACTAAGGAAGGGCGGGAGATGGGCAGCAGCGTCCCTCTTAAAACATCACTGCGCCAAACTGCGCTTGCCAATCCGCCTGCCAAAAGTGGCAATTACTGGCAAAACCCTCCTTATGGGGGAAGCTATGTTCAGCAGTGGACAGTAAACGCCTGAAACAACTATTGAATGTCGGGGGGAAAGGGATTGTTAGTACTGGGTTTTACTGCCCCATTGCTAGCAATGCACCCTATCGGGTCGACGTCCACGTGGTTTCCCCTGGAAACCATCGTGGTTAATTCTAGTGCAATTTGTCACGATGGGCTAACTCACCTGCTTTCGTCGTCACCTATCACCCCTAACTGGTGCCCCGCTAGCGTATACCGTTAGCGCAGGCGGGGTTACCATTTCATTATCACCCGTTAAAAAGAACTATTGAACGTCAGCAGACTGCTTTATGGGCGGTTTAATTATTCATTTATTTACATTTTAATTAAATTATATTAAAACAAACTTTAGTAGATGGCTTTGTAAAAATATTGAGTCATTAATATTGATAAAAATGAATAAAAGGAATCGCTTCACAGTCGCTCATGACTAAGGGTCCCGTATGGTTCCGAAACTAGTTGAGCTTTATTGACTAAAATTCACGTACTTTACTGCTGGTTATTACATACATACATACATACATATCTGTCACGCCTGTCTCCCATTAGGGTAGGCAGAAACAATGGGACGCCAAATGCTTCGATTCAAACAAACCTCTTTCGCTTCTTCCACATTCATCAATCTCATCTGTTGGTTATTATATTAACATATTAATAAATTCATTAATTCCATTTTTAAATCTCACTATTCTTATTTTAAAACGCAATGCTTATGCCACAAGATGTTTTTAGACACGGTTCGTATAATATTTAAATTTAGAATGTGGTGAATTAACAATTGTGTCAGTTTGAAAAAAAAAAGTGTTTATTCCAATTTTTTTTACATACTATCCTATCTATCCGCTAATTCTGTCCAATAGCAATGCTGACAGAACGACATCTGTCGGCTCAGTCTACGGATTAATAAAAATTATAACCCTATACGTCGGTTTCCTTTGCTTTAATCTTTTTTTTTTCTTTTAAAAAAAATATATTGTTATCTCTCATCTCATATCTCGTGTTACAAGTGACGCGGGTCTGGACCCCACATTCTCCAAATGCGATTGAGTCCATGTGTTTGTAGACTACGTGACACAGGTCTCGTATCGCACTCGAAGAAAGCCCGGCGCGTTGTATTGTGTAATTATTAAGTTGTCGGTCTGTTGGTTTACTATTTTTGACTGTCCATTTATTTTTAGTTCATTTTAAACTTTCGCGTTGTTTACTTTGTATTTTAAAAACGCGATGTAAAAGTTTTTACAGCTAAATAGTACTTAAATACCTGCTACTTTATCGTCGACGTTTCCATTTATTGTATTTCATTTTTTATCTATGTATACTAATTTATACTCTGTACCCCCTAAGGGGACGTGAAGCCTCTTCAGGGGGAAAACTACCTCAGTAAAAAAGGTAGATTTATTAAGAATAATGCAAATTTAACATTTGTATGTTAAAAAATTAACAAAAAAAATAAGTCGGGGAGTCACGAAATATTTTTTCACACTTACAGGTGTCGTGTCATGAAAAATGTTGAAAATCGTTGCCCTATATTATTTCTTCTGCTGCTGGTTACTCTGTTTGAATCATAAATTACTATTTGCTCTTCTATTGCAGTTGTTTTATTTAATTGTTATATATAATAATATGTAATTATATATGTACGTATTTATTGTATGTATGTATATATTTATTTATTTAATATATTATGTGTATGTTTATATTATATGAATTTATCAAGTATTGTTTTATTTTTTCTCTATTAAAAAATGCACCGCCTACGTATTTCTCTGTTCGCCCAACGGTCGACTGGTAGAGAACACCGTCCGGTGTTAAGTCCGTCAAATGTACACAGAATTTTACTGTGCATTAAAGTTTAAATAAATGAATGTGGACGAAGCGAAAGAGGCTTGTTCGAATCGAAGCATTTGGCGTTCAATTGTTTCTGCCTACGATAATGGGAGACAGGCGTGACAGGTATGTACTCGTATGTATTTTTTAAATGTCAAATACATTTTTCATATGAATTTTTTGCTATCGTTTATTTGATATGTTAATTTATTGTGGAAACTTCATTGATATTTATTATTGATGTATTTATTATTTATACGTTTTAGATTTTATTTATTTATTTATTTATTACATCCACTGGGTGAGCCTTACAGTCCTCCAATACGCTCACCCAGGAAAGCATGAGTACAATAACATACAAAAAGAAATATTACACAAAAAATAATACAAAAATACTCAACTATAACAAAAAAAACGTCTGAACACAAACACTCTGTGGTCACTTGATATTATTACTAGCAACTAGCGCCGGCTTCGGTCGGTACTTTTGAAAATAAATTACAGCCTATGTTAATCACTTTCTGTTGTTGAAAGTATTATTAAAAACGGTTTAGTATTTTTTTTTAATTTATCCATTCATCATCATCATCATATCAGCCTTTAACTGTCCACTGCTGGACATAAGCTTACCCCTTGCGATTCTTACCAGAAGGTACCACTATTGGCAGGCAGATGTTTTAAGAGGGACGTTGCTGCCTATCCCTCGCCCTCTCTTAGTCGTGTATTACGACTCACATGAGAAAGAGAGAAGTGATCTATTCTATGCCGGGACCACACGGTCTTTTATTTATTACAAATAAGAAATAAAATCGTTTCTTTTCAGAATATTATTTTAAATGTCATAATCATATGAATATGATTTTTTTTTTATGTGTGAAAATGGTATAGTAACCCCGCCTGCGCTAACGGGATATGCTGGCGGAGCACCAGTGAAGGGTGATAGATGAAAATGAAAACAGGCCAGTTAGCCCATCATGATGAATTCATCAGGAATTAACCATGATAGTTTCCAGGGCGAACCACGAGGAGGTCTACCTGGTTGGGTATATTGCTAGCAATGGGATTCTCAGTCTCTTTGTCATCACTAACAATCCCTTTTCCCCCTATTAATATGAATTAAGAATTACCTAAATTTTGATAAGAAAAAAACTTTTTTTTTAGTCGAATGGAAAGGGGGGAAAGGGATTGTTAGCGATGGGGTCTAACAGCCTCATTGCTAGCTATGTTATTAATCAGGTCGACCTCCACGTGGTTCCCCCTGGAAACCATCGTGGTTACTTCTCGTGGAATTCTTCACGATGGGCTAACTGACCTGCTTTCATTAATGAAAAAGTGGTAAACTTAAAAGTGGTAACAGTCGTTTATAGACGTAAACAGTACCGCAGACTTCATAGAATACACTGTGACGCTGTGTGTGTATAAAAGTGAAATAAAAAATAAATCGTATTCTATTTTCAAAAACGTATTTATGAATATAAAAAAAAAAAAAAACTGCCAGTAATTCTCATTGAAAGTCTAACATTTATTAAATGAAGTCAAAATGCTATTTTACTTTTTTCCATGATGATGGTATCAGCCATTACTGTCCACTGCTGGATATAGGCCGCCCCCTATTGGGAGATTTTACCAGTAGTTGCCACGATTAGCAGGCGGGTTGGCAACCGCAGCTTTTTTTATACCACAAAGATGCCATACTGACGGTAAACGGTCACTGTAGCCTGTGGACGCCTGCAACACTAGGGGTGTCACGTGCACCTTGCCGGCCCTGAATAAACTTTAATATACCCTTTTTGAAGAAGCGAAAAGTTAGGCGTTGGTGATGTTTTGACAGGAACGCTGCTGCCTATCCCTCGACCATTAGTTTCCTTTAATCGTTTCCTACGACATGTACGAGACAGAAAGGGCTGGCCCATTCTATGTCAGGACTACACGGTAAAAAATATTATATACTCATATAACAGTAGGTAATAGTAACTTATTCTAACAAAGGAAATAAGAACATATAAACTTATTGTTATGTTTCTTAATTTACAAATGATTAATAAAACATCTTATTTGTACTTGTGTAGGTACATACAAAATGTCAGATCGTTTAACACTTCCAAATTTGAAATTAACAGTTTTCAAATGTTACGTTTTAAATTTGGAACGATTCAGTTAACAAAAAAAAAAGCGGGAACAACTCACCATAAAGTGTTAGTTTTAAATTTGGAACGAAAAAAAAAGCGGGAACAACTCACCGTAAAGATAACTGCCACGCGTGAATGATGAAACGATTAAAACAAATTACAAACTAACACACAAACAAGGCGAAAGTTAAACGAAAGGAAATAATATTACTTTATAGCGAAATACAAGAAATGTTGTATTCGAAAAAAAAATATTATCATTTTGTTTTAATAGGTATAGTGTTTTGTGGATACCACGTGCTCACTGTGCCACAAAATATTGTTACTCGATTAAAACGTCACGTGTTGATTAATCGATTCGGAATCAATCAGAACGCGTTGCGGCGCTGTCGTCGAAAAATAGTGATGCGCCGTCACCGGATCGGTATGTCGATAAGTGATTTTTCGAAAACTGTGACACGTCTAGTATTCGCGACTGCGCACTGTGTAATGCCGCGATATAAGTTGCAAAGTGAAGGCACTTTATCAGTGACTTGCTAGCTTAACATATAAGACTGTTATATGAACAATATAACCAGTAGTGTGGCTAAATTGTCGACCGTATCGATTTTCGATGATTGTGCATTGTTAGATTTGTAATTGTGTCGCGACAGTCGGTCGATTTTGGTTATCGTACGAATTATATCTTTACCCGACTGCCAAAAGTAGAGTAATGTTTTTCTGCTGTAGTTTTTTTTTTAAATTGCAGGATTTTTTCTGGATTTTCAAGCTTGATAGATTTTAATAAATGTAAGTACTGTTGTTAGATTCTGAGTATGATTTATTTTGTTTGAAAATGGAATAGTAACTCCGCCTGCGTTATTGACACACGATGATGGTATGGCGGATGATGAAATGTCAACGAGGGATGATAGGTATGTAAGTATAAGTCAAGATTAGTCAGTATATCTTGACAAATTTCCAGTGGGAACCGCACGGGGGTCGACCTGAATGAGTAAGTTATATTACTAGCAATGAGACTACAAATCCTCTCTACCGCTTCTTAGAATACGTGGCTTGAATATAAATAGTACATAATATATTATTTTATGAATATTTATATAGAATAATAAAGCTATGTATACTTATAAAGTCATTTGTTTCCACTTATAAACATCAACGCACAAACAAAACTACTAAGCCTAGAATGATAAAACATTTTTTCGTTCATAACGTAAGTATTGGCTACGGAAGGATTTTTGAAAAAATCAATTAAAAGAGAAAACATGACACCACGCGTGCAAAGCCGCGAATAACGGCTAACATAGTATAAAACAAAGTCGCTGTCGCTGTCTGTCCGTTCCTATGTATGCTTAAATCCTTAAAACTACGCAACGGATTTTGAAGCGGTTTTTTTTAATAGATAGAGTGATTCAAAATGAAGGTTTATATGTATAATACATGCATAATATTGTAGAGGAACACTGATAATTTTTGATTTTAATGTAATGTCGTAATGTAATGAGGGGTCAGTGGCGGTATATAGTGTCAGAGGGCCTACCATGAAATGTTTTCCGAAATTTCGGAGCCAAACGAAACAGAAATTTGATGTTAAAATTACATAATACATGCCGTTTGGAAATATTAAAAATGTTAAAATATTGTTCCTTTGCACTTTTATGACGAACGAAATGTTAAACTCCATTTATTGGTCCGATTTTGGTATAAACAAATACATGAAATTGAGTCCGAAATTTCGGAATTTCATTTCATGTTAGACCCACAGCATTGTACCGTGCGAAGCCGGGGCGGGTCGCTAGTAAATAATAAATTCCATTACAAATAACTATGTTTAATAACATGCATAAGGCATGCTAATATAATAAAGTTTTATATATGTACATTTTATTAACGATTCTATTATAACACGTTTTATCGGTCTTCATTTATTTTTAATAAATGACGTAAATTGTTATTTGCATTTATTGTAATATTAAAATTTAGTTGTATAAGTTACGATGACTAATTGTTACTAGAGGCACACTTATAAAGTCGTTTATGTTTTTTTTTAATGGGTGATAATGGAATGGTAACTCCACCCGCGCTATCGGTATACACCGGCGGGGCACCAGTGAAGGATAATAGGTGAAGACAAAGCAGGTCAGTTAGCCCATCGTGACAAATTCAACAAGAATTGTTCACGATGGTTTCCAGGGGGAACCACGTGGCGGTCGACCTAATAGGGCATATTGCTAGCAATGGGGCTGTCAAACTCCATTGCTAACGATCCTTTTCCCCCCAAGTCGTTTATGTTAATACTTCTTTACTGGAGAAACGGGATTGTTAGTAATTCTTTTTAGTGGGTGGTTTTTTTTTTTATAAATTAGTGGTAACCGTCGCCTATAGACATGAGCAGTACCATGGACATAACAGAGTATAATGTTTCGCCCATGATACCCTCCATGCGTTGCCATTCCTGAGGACTCAGGTGTTATTCCTCTGTACCCTGTAAATTCACGCCATATCCCACCCTTCAAACCGAAATACAGCCAAGAAAAAATAAAATAAAATAAAATAAAAAAACCGAAATATAGTCATGCAAACACAACTGCTTTACGGTTGAAACACGAATGAGCCAGAGGTACCCAAGCAAATGACTTTTTTACAAAGTCTTCCTCTGGTGTAACCTACCTCATTGGTGCTCCGCCAGCGTATAATGGTAGTGCAGGCGGGGTTCCATTCCATTATCATTAATTAAATAAACTTGTCTTCTAATTTCTACTGTTCTCACATTTTATCACATTTTTCTATTAAGCTGTATGTACAATTAAGCAAAAAGGCACGTACATACATACATATACACACATCCTAGTCTAAACTTCTTTCAAATACTCGCTAAGTTGACTGGAAGATATTTCTGATTGTGATACGTCCGCCTGCCCTACAGTTTAGATAGATAGATAGATAGATACTCTTTATTGTTTGCTCCATAAGATTACAACAGTAAACTTATTATAAATATAAACAATTATAAGAAATATTTACAACGAGAAAACAATGGGCGACATTATCGCTAAATGTAAATTACATAGAAGGAGTGATAAAATTGTCAATTCATAGCAGGTTAGCGTATAGAAAATGTTATACGGCCGTATAATCCTACCAAATTCAGATACAACCTGCTTGCATACTTTCTACATAAACTGTGTCGAATATTTAAACTAGTAATGTAAAATTTGTCATTGACACATAATTGACATGTCAAACATTTTCTATACACTACCCTGCTATGAATTGAGAAAAATAATAACCGGTGGTGTATCCTTCGTCCTCTTTTTATTAATTATATTTGCATAAGAAGAAAGGAGACAACTATATGATTTATAGTTTTTATTTTATCATTCAATTCTATGTAATTCCTTGTTCGTGGCAAGAAAATGTTACTGCTTTTATGTCCTTCTATTCATCTGGGTGTATGTCTAACGTATTGCATTTGAAATCCCATGCATGATAGACTGACGCTGAACACGTTTGTGTTCTAAGAAATCGTTTAGTATGATTCTCAGAAATCGGCTTCACTTAGTAAGTATTTTGTATTTAAAGTTTTAAATCTATTAAAAGAGAGAAGCAATGCGTTCTCTGATGAATTTTTAAACAATATTTTGCAATAGGAATAGGTATTTATAATAGGAAATATTTATTTAAATGTTATTGTATAATAAAAATATATATGTAACTAGCCATTACCCGCGGCGTTGTCCGCCTCTAATTATGTAGTTCTCGTATATTTGCCATTAAAAGTTTTTATGAATCCAGTCTTATATTGTATTATATACTAAAATGATAATTACGCACCTAATACCTTCATAAAGTTTTAGCCAATTCAACTGATCGGTTATTTTATAGCATTTTATATGTGATTTTTTAAATTGATATAATTTTTTTATTTATGAACTGATTGAAACAAAACAAACATTGAATGTTAAGTGGAGCAAATTGCAATGCATTTGTGATTACCGCATTCAAATCGAGTAAGCCGACCTCCACGCAGTTCCCTCTGGAAATCATAGTGGTTAATTCTTGTTCAATTGGTCACTATGAGTCAACTGACTTGCCTTAATCCTCACCTGTCACCCTTCATTGGTACCCTGCCAACGTATACCGATAGCTCAGGTGGGGCTACCATTCCATCTTAAAAATTAAAAAAGAGTGTACTGATGTCCAATATTAGTAAATAAACTATCAATTAATTAATTGGATTTGTCATTAATTTTTTTATAACATAAGGAGCAAACGAGCATGCGGTTCTACTGACAGTAAGCGCCTACCGCCATACATGATCACCCACAACACCAGAGGCATTGCAGGTGTGCTACTTGCCTTTTAAAAACGAAATATGCTCTTTTCTTGAAGGTTACGATGTCGTATCGGTTCGGTGGAAGAAAGTGATTTGAAAAACGCACGTTGGAGGACCGTCACTCATCTAGATGGATTTTTTTTATGGATGATAATGGAGTGGTAACCCCACCTGCGCTATTGGTATAAGCTGACGGGTTCCAGTGAGGGATGATAGGTGAGGATGAAAGTAGGTCAGTTAGCACATCGTGACGAATTTCACTAGAATTAAACACAGTGATTTACAGGGCGAACTGCGTGGAGGTCGACCTGATAAGGTACATTACTAGCAATGGAGATGTTAGACTCCATTACTAACAATCCCTTTCTCCCCTCATATAGATGGTTGGGATTGAACTTTAATTTGTTTTCAATTATAATAATTATTTTATGATTATTTCAACATAACTTGCTGGGGGAAAGGGATTGTTAGTAATGAAGACTAAAAATCTCATTGCTAGCAATATACCTAACCTGGTCGACCTCCACGCGGTTCCCCCTGGAAACTATCATGGTTAATTCATCATGATGGGCTAACTGGCCTGTTTTCATTCTCATCGATCACCCTTCACTGGTGCTTCGCCAGCGTATCCCGTTAGCGCGGGCGGGGTTACCAATCCATTTTCATCCAACAAAAAAAAAAACATAACTTGCTTACTGTTTTATTTTGTATTGAAACAAATTATAAATTATTGGAATTATTATACTGTGAATCATTATAAATAACTGAATTATTTGCACAGTTGTATTTGCCAGACAGAAGTAAAGATGATTATTCCGTTTTGTTTTAATTTTTCAATAAGCAAGCTATTAATATTGTTGTAAGATGGCATTTTATTTTCTTTACACACTTTTGTTCATTGGTATGTATTTAATTAATAAATATTACAGCAGTCTAAAAGAATGTCTGAGATTAATGACGAGTAGGCAGGTATATTTTGTTATTTAAATAATTAAAGTTTATGTCCCACTCAAAAAAACCGACTTCAATTGTGACAAAACCAGTTGTTTTGATCTGAAAACTAAATTACTGAACCGATTCTGATGAAACTTCCATGGGACAAATTTTTAAGTACGTATATCTCTGCAGTTAAAAAAAATCCAAATCGGTTTAGAACTG